CATCCGGAGCACAGGCAGGGCGCCAAGCATGTGGGTGGCTCCCCTCAAGGGAAGGATGAAGGGAAAGGAGTGCAAGATGCCAGAAGAAGGCCAGCATATAAAATCCTAGGTTCCAGGTTAAATGGGGCACTTGACCCCCACGATGCCTGCTTGGGTCTCTCCCAAACGTATTTTCCTTTCTTTCCTGATCTAAAGCTTTTTAATAAACTTTTGCTCCTACTCTGAAGCTTGCCTCAGTCTCTTTTACTCTTTTATGCCCCTCAGTTGAATCAGTTGAATTATTTCTTCTGAGGAGGCAAGAAATGAGACTGCTGTAGACCCATACAGATTTGCCGTCGGTAACTCAGATATTCGTCACCCCTAACAATATTATCCATTAAATTTATTTCTATTCAAACATTACACGCACCAACCAGTGTGCCCAAACAGAAGTCAATTAGAAAGTCATTAACTCAACTTATACTTACTTTTTTGGTATTTTTTTTAACATTACATTTCACTACCAGAAAGCATTCCTGAATTGCATAAATACGTAGGACATATATTCGAAGCTTCAAGAAATATTTTCACAGAATGTAATTCTAACATGGCATTAGTCTTATATTAAAAGAAAATTACCCTTCAAACAAAATGTAAATAGGACCACAATCCAGTTTCCCAGAATATTTAAAAGAGGGAGAAATATTGAAGGGGATGGGGAAGACAGAATAAAGACATCTTAACAAATGATTTCTGATAGCCTTTCATTTTCCTCAGAAATATAAATTCCAGCTCTATATTATAATAATAGCAAGTCCCTAGTGTCATCCTTTCTAAGCAAACCAAAATGAAAAGACACACATAACTGAGCACTCCTGGCAACTCCACAACTGAGATTATGAAATGAGCAAAAGGACTATTTGTCCTCATGAACTGCTAAAATTCCAAACACTGAAGTAAATAAACTGATTTAGTTAATTCAAGAGCTAAAAGATTTTAACTTATTTCCAATCAGTCCAAAAGAAGTAGTTCTGATTAAAACACAAATTACCTGGACTTTCCCTCTTGAGCCTTCTTTTCCAGCAGTAAAAGGAAAATGACAGACCTCCACCACAAGTTGCCCAGGAGGCCAAAACCTCCAGTATGCCTTTTGAAGAGTAACAGAGCTAACTTCAGTGCCAGGTTACCACATACCATTTGCTCTAGTTTCCTATTAACTTTTAACAGTTACTGAAGCCAGTAAATGTATCACTATTTTCCCTGTTCATGTTCTGTTCTCTTGAAATCTCTCTGTCTTAGGGATTGCCACTACATTTTACTCACATATTTTAATAATTTTCTTTATAGAAGTTGTTTGACCTCTATTGGCACCATTAGGGCATATATTTCCTCTACAATAAAATACTCAAGGTAACTTCTGAAGGGCTCTGCATTTGCAAATCTTTCTTTCCTGAACAGCATAAGCTGAAAAATACAAATGTGATCACAGTAACCAGTAATAAAACACTCAAGCCCCACTTTCAGAATGTGGGGAGCACCAAATTTCCTACTAATCCCCCTCAACTAATTCACACAGGTTTTTGAAATAGCTATAGAATGAAATGTTAGTAGGACTTTACATAACAAGAAAATAAAAGGACTATCTCCATAGGGGTATTGGATCTTTTTTGAGGTGATGGAGCATTTAAAAAGTGCAAACTTTTTTTTTGAGACGGAGTTTTCGCTCTTGTTATCCAGGCTGGAGTGCAATGGCGCAATCTCGGCTCATGGCAACCTCCGCCTCCTGGGTTCAGGCAATTCTCCTGCCTCAGCCTCCTGAGTAGCTAGGATTATAGGCACGCGCCACCATGCCCAGCTAATTTTTTGTATTTTTTTTTAGTAGAAACGGGGTTTCACCATGTTGAACAGGTTGGTCTCGATCTCTTGACCTCGTGATCCACCCACCTCAGCCTCCCAAAGTGCTGGGATTACAGGCTTGAGCCACCGCGCCCGGCCTAAAAAGTGCAAACTTAAAAGAAACCATTGGCAAACTCAACTTCTTTAATTTTAAGGAAGTCTGATGGCCAAATACTCCGTAAAAAAATTGAAAACTACAAGCTACTACCTTGTAAGACTTATGCTACAGATACAACTGATTAAGAATTATTAACTAGTATACATAAAATATTCCTAAAAAAGTATGTCTAAAAATCTTAGATGAATAGGAGAAAAAGACTTAAACAGGTACTAATGAGACACAAGCATAAGCATATGGGAAAAAGGCTTAACTTCATTTATTATCAAAGAAATGCAAATTAAAATCATGGGGCATATTTCTACCTATAAGGTTGGCAAAAATTAAAAATTCCAAAAATAAGAGTTGGTTAGGAAGTGAATCACTCAGACTCAAGCCCTACTGAGGGAATATAAATTGGTACCACCACTTCAGAAAGCAATTTGACATTGTCTAATAAATGTGACAATATGAGTAACTTTTGACCCAGCCATTCCTCTTCTAGAGAACAAAAATATATGAATTACAACTACATGCAATTACCTGGATGAATCTTACAAACATAATATTGTTAGAATATTATAACATTGTCATAAATACTCACAAAGCCACAAAGCAATCTTTCAAATTTATATTTGCTGAACTAAAACTATAGGCCATACTTTTGGAGTAAATCTTTAAACAAACCAAGGAATGAATTACTAAGAATCTGGATAGTGGTGAAAAATTATTAATGTAGTTTACATTGACAGAATGCAACTAAGTGAATGAAAAAAATACATTCCATGCAACAGTAAGCATAAGAAACCTAAAGTAGTAATGACTATAATTATAAATATTACATATCTATGACAGGATCATAAAAATCATAAATTCCAATAATGGATTTTAAGATATCAATAGGGCAAAAATTGACAGAATTAAAGGGAGAAATAGGAAAAATAGATAATTCCATAACCATAAATGGAGTTTTTTAAATCCCTCTTTAAACCATAGATTTGAACAGTATAATGACCTTACCCTCATCACCTCAATAACTTCAAATGTACATGGCATGTTCAACAAGATAGGCCATAAGTTGTGCCATAAAATTGCAATACATGTAAAAATACTGAAATCACATATTCTCAATGAAATTAGTAATTAAAAACAGTAAGGTATCTAGAAAACTCTCAAGTATTTGAAAATCAAACATATTTCTAATAAGTCATGAGTCAAAAAGAAATCATACTGGAAATTAGGAAATATTTCAAACTGAATGATAAAGGAAGAACAATATAAATAATTTTAAAATTATAAAATAAAGCTAAAGCTAAAAAATTGATAAACTACAACCTAGACTGATTAAATAAAAACAAGACAGGACACAAATAACTCAAAATGAAAGTGGACTTTTTATTATAGATCCAATTGACATTAGCTAGGGAATATTACAAACAATTTTATGCTAACGAATTTGATAACTTACACGAGATCAATTACTTGAAGAAATATACGGAAGAAAAAATGAGACCAAGAAACATAATAATTTATGGACAACTAAATAAACCAGGATTGGATTCTGGACTGGAGGTGAAATTGCACAGGTCATTACTAGGACATTGGTGAAATTTGAATGCAGACGCTGTATTATTGCTATATCACTGTTACATATTTTGAATTTGATATTTCATTATGGAAAGCAGAACTTTGGTGGTCGCTGCAGTCTATTACTGTACAGCTAAGATTAATTTTGAATTCTATGGAATCGGAGGACACAGACTATTTTTAAATTTGGAAACCTTTCAAGTAAAAGCTTTAGGACTTTAGCACTGTGAAACAACCTAGTAAAATTTAAAGGTCCTTGTTACTTTGTGTTTTATGATTCACAGAATACATGCTAATGGGACTGTGAATCAAAGAAGCAGGACCAAACTGTTCATTCTTAGTTCGTTTAGGGTCAAGAAATTTACAGTCGAGTAGCTTCTGCTTCTAAGTAGGAAGATTTATGGCAAACCAACTCTCTAAGAACTAGAAAAACGCAGGATAAAAAAGAACAGAAAAGCAAAACACTGGGAAAAACTTAAGTATCTAATTGAATATTGGTTGAAAAATTGCAATGACATAATTATACAATATGCTATTAATCAAATTTGTTACTCTTGTCTATTTAAAAATATGGAGAAATGATTATAATGTAAAGAGGGGCATGATGCCACAGTAATTGTAAAATACAGAAAAAAAAATTTTCATATGGAAATATACCAAAATGTTAGGTAATTACAAGAAGCAATTTATTTTATTTTATTTTTTTTTTGAGATGGAGTTTTGCTCTGGTTCCCCAGGCTAGAGTGCAATGACACTATCTCAGCTCATTGCAACCTCCGCTTCCCGGGTTCAAGCGATTCTCCAGCCTCAGCCTCCCGAGTAGCTGGGATTATACAAATGTGCCAACACGCCCAGCTAATTCTGTATTTTTAGCAGAGACGGGGTTTCTCCATATTGGTCAGGTTGATCTCGAACTCCCGACCTCAGGTGATACACCCACCTCAGCCTCCCAAAGTGCTAGGATTACAGGCGTGAGCCCCTGTGCCCAGCTTCTTTTTTTTTTTTTTCATTCTTGGTTTTGCTTTTTATCTTTCCCAACCTTCTAAAGAGAATGTGCTATTTTTAAGAAAAAGAATGACATGTTAAGATAGGAGAAGTCTATTTTATGCTATTTAAAACATATATTGCGTATGTAAAACCATTCTATTGAGTCTGAATCTCTATTTTATCAGCAGGCTTTATGTAAGCATACCTACTAAGCTTACAGAAATTCCAACTAAGTAAAATTAGTTAAAGGATATCCTTTTTATGTAGCAACCATTAAATTTTAAAACAGTAAACCCTTTAAAATTACATCATATGTTTGACTATCTCATTAAACGAGTTAGCAAGCCTAATTTAATCTTTGAGGAAAACTGAAGGCTGTTATTTTGATATAGTCACTGTATTGAACTAAAAACCAGTGATGCCCTCTAGAGGTACTGATGGACGTGCAGCTTACCTTCCCTGTCCGGATGTGTTTACCCTCCTTGTTGGCTAAATTTACGATGACTGTTTCAGGCAGTGGTACTTGTCTCCCAACTCAATACTAGCATCTTCTAGATCCATGTTCTCAAAACATAATCGGCTTTTGAAGCATGCAGAAGCTCAGGATGTACTCCAGACTTACCGAATCAGAATCTGCATTTTTAAAAGATCCCCACATGAAAATCATCAATAAAAGATCCCCAAATGATTAATATGCATATTAAATTTTGAAAATACAGCTCACTCTAGGCTACAAAGGAGAAATTTCTTCTAACAGTCACATGAAGCTGCTTGGTTTTTGCAGTTAACTCTCCAGTTGTAACCAAGTGTTTTTCCACACAGACCTCCTCATCCCTTAGTTTCAATTTGGCCTTTGTTTTCCTGTCTATGGATCACAAAGAAAAACTGTATAGAAAGTGAGATAATCAAATCCTGTATACAAAATTCCAATGCTGAATCTTTTATATAGTAGAAGCTGGACATACAGTAGGTCTTCTGTATCTGTGTGTTCCCCAACTGTGGATTCAACCAACTATGGATCAAAAATGTTCGGGGGGAAAAAAGATAACTGTATAATCAGCTTTTGAAGCATGCTTCAGGAAAACTAAAAGCCGTTATTCTGATATATTCACTCAATATGTATACTTTTTTTCCTTCTCGTTATTCCCTAATCAGCATAACAACTATTTACGTAGCACTTACATTGTATTCAGTACCATAAGTAATCTAAAGATGATTTAAGGTATATGGGAGGATGTGCATATGTTATATGCAAATACTACATCATTTTATACAAAAGGCTTGGGCATCTGTGGACTTTGGTATCCAAGCAGGTGTCCTGGAACCAATCCCCAACGGTTATCAAGATATCAACTCAATGTTTAAGCTCCAGAACTCCAGGCACTGACACCTGAAGTTCTTGAATGAAGTGCCTTCGGATGACATTTGTAGGGCATGGCTGTACTATTAACTAATTTTCTTAATGAACATTCCAGAATTTATATACCCAACTGAATTTTGCCCTCTTCAAGTCACCCTGGAAAAGAGAGTAAATGCAATTTCTTTTGTTAAAAATCTTTCTATCACATTTCTTTAGGAATTGTCAGAGTCAAAACAATATGAGACATTCCTTCTGTCTCATTACTCTCCAGCCGTATCTAACGCTTGAACAAAAATAATCCTGGCCAGGCGCGGTGGCTCATGCCTGTAATCCCAGCACTTTGAGAGGCCAAGGCAGGCGGATCATGAGGTCAGGAGTTCGATACCAGCCTGGCCAACATGGTGAAACCCTGTCTCTGCTAAAGATACAAAAATTTAGCTGGGCGTGGTGGCGTATGCCTGGAATCTCCACTACCTGGGAGGCTGAGGTAGAAGAATCACTTGAACCTGGGAGGCAGAGGGTACAATAAACCAAGATTGTGTCACTTCACTCTAGCCTGGGTGACAGGGTGAGACTCCGTCTCAAAATAAATAATCCCAAATTTAACAACTAACTTTGTCATTCAGAACCATCTGATAACCTGCTATTTAAGTAATTTCCACAAATTAAGTCCATTAAAGTACAAAGACTTGCTATTCTAGTGAATACTCAACATCACTTTTTAGAAGTTATAGAAAAAAGGTTTAAAATAAGCATCATCTCCTCTGAAGAGAATACACAATTTAGACATAGAATCTGGCATATCTCTTACGAGCAAGAGTCATAGCACTCAATAGTTGGCATGTATTCTAATTTTTCAAAGTTATACTCACTGTAAAGAAATGCGAAGGCACATCAGAAGTAAATTTCACTTAAAAAAATTTACAACACACAATACACTTCAACAAATCTACTTTAATTCCAAAAGAAATTAATCTAGAATGGTCAGTAACATGCAACATACTTCTGTTTCCTTTATAGGTATCTATCTAATACAAGTTTATTTGTATATGTGCAATATATAATAACTCTACCTTAGATATGAGTCCTAATAGGATGAAAATATTTTCTTGCAACTACTACTTTATGCCTAATGAAGGGTGTGAACTTGACATGTCCTCCTGTCTTAAATCCAAGTTAATGACAGTGTCCTCTCAAAATGTTTCAAATTATTAATGACTTAATTTCATTTAAAAAAAACAGTTTCAGCAAATATGAAAGTAGAAAGTCCTGTTATTTGTCCATTTATAATATGAGAAAAAAAATAAGAGATGATACATTCATCTATAGAAAGAGTGGGTTTAGAGAACAGTTCTGGTAGTATTTCTTATGGTAAAGTATTGAAAGGTATGATAAGCAGCCCCCTTGCCCAGGGAAAAAAATGATTTCAAGGTGTTTCTCTTCCAAATTGCTTAGTAACTCCAAGTGATCTTCAAATTGGGGGGCAGATTACTGGCACTGAGTTCATCAAATTTAGATCTATCTTGAACAGGAATGTTATAGAATTCAAGAACATCTCTAACCCTGCACATCTGGTGGAGTCTGGAATTAGGGACTACATGACCCAAGTCATCAGCTAAATGTACCAAGAGACTGAACTTTAGACGACCATCTTCCAGGGAGACGTCTTGCCAATCACAAGGAAGAGATGAACCAAAAACTTTTTTAACATAAGATTCCAAACGACTCTGGAGATCTTCAGGTGGTGTGTATGCTCGGCTTCGTAAGGGTGGACACACTAGGATAGATTCCTTTTTCACCTCTTCTACAGTCTCAGCAACCACTGGCTCTATTTCTTTTCTGGAATGATCAAAAACAAACATATTAATCTTTGGTTTACCACATTAATGAAGTTGAAAAACATGAGACCAAATCTTGCCTACCAATCAAAATCAACAAATGCACACTGACTACCTCTGGGACTGTGGAGAGTAGGAAAGAATGAGATAGGCCCCTGCCCTTGAAACGTTCATAGTTGAACTGAGTTGGGAGAGACAGACAAAAACTAAGTACATATTTTACATACTGTAAGAATTCCTAAGAATGGGTGAAGAAGTAAGGTAAATATTTCTTACTGTCCTCCAAGATCCAACCCCGTCCTCCAAGATCCAGCCCCAGTCTGCCTTGCTATTCTCACTTCTCACTGATCACCTACATGTACTCCATGTGCTACTCTATATCCTGTGTCCCAAGCACACTCCCATTTTCCTGACACAATGTGTTAGCTCAAGTTATACCTTTTCTGAAATGCCTTTTATCTTCACCTATGGAAATCTTGCTTATTCTGTAAGTCTTAGGATAAAATTGTTCTCTTCCAAGAGGACTAATTTCTAGAATCAAACATAACTGTAATATCATGTGATCTCTTCAGCACTTTATACAGCTCTCAGAGGACATCACATCCTACCTGAGTTTTAATTTTACTTACATTCTACTTCACAGAAAGTGAAGAGATGGAAAAAGATATTCCATGCAAACAGAAACCAAAAAGAACAAGAGAAGCTACACTTACATCAGATAACAGAGATTTCAAGTCAACAACTATAAAAGAGACAAAGAAAGTCATTGCATAATCATAAAAGGGTCAATTCAACAACCACAGATATATATAATATATCTATGGTTGCATATATATATTATAAATGTATATGCAACCAATATTGGAGAACCTAAACATATGACACAAATATTAATAGATCTAAAGGAAGGGACAGACTTCAATACAATAGTTGTAGATTTCAATACCCCCCTCTCAATAATAGACAGATCATCCAGACAAAATCAACAAAGAAACACTGAAATTACATTCTGGACCAAATGGACTTGACACTTAGAGAACATTTCACCCAATTGTTGCAGAATACACATTATTCTCATGAGTACATGGTACATTCTCCAGGGCAGACTGTACCCTAGAACACAAAACAAGTTTTAACAAATTCATAAAACTCAAAATCATATCAAGGACTTATCTAACGACAATGAAATAAAACTAGAAATCAGTAACAAAACTCTGGAAACTATATACCTATATAAAAATTAAATAACATGCTCCCAAATGACCAATGAGTCAATGACGAAATTAGGAAGGAAATTTTAAAATGTCTTGAAGCAATAAAAATGAAAATACAACACATCAAAACCTATCCAATACAGCAAGAGCAGTAATAAGAGGGAAGCTTATAGTAATAGACACCTACATGAAAAAAGAAAAACTTCAAATAAACAGTCTAAAGATGCACCTTAAAAAATTAGAAAAAGATAAAGCAAACCCAAAATTAGTAGAAGGAAAGAATAAGATCAGTGTAGAACTGAAACAGACTAAAAAAGCAATAAAAAGATCAATGAATTGAAAAGCTGGTTTATTAAAAAGTTAAAATCAACAAACCTTTAGCTAGACTAAGAAAAACAGAAAGAAAACACAAATAAATCAAATCAGAAGCAAAAAAGGAGACATTACAACTGACATCACAAAAATTTAAAGACTAATTAGAGATTATTACAACCAACTATATGCCAATAGATTGGAAAACCTAGAAGAGATGGATTAATTCCTAAATACAGACAACTTACCAGAACTTAATCATGAAGCAACAAAAAACTCAAACAGAAGTAATGAGATAAACGCTGTAATAAAAATCTGCCATCAAAGAAAAGCTTAAGATCTGATGGCTTCACTAATGAACTCTACCATGCATTTAAAGAAGAATTAATAACCAACCAATACCGATTCTACCAAAACTATTCCAAAACACTGAAGAGGAGAGATTACTTTGAAACACAGTCTACAAGGCCACATTACCCTGATACCAAAACCAGACAAAGGCAAAATAAAAAAGGAAAATGCTACAGGACAGCATTCCTGATAGGCACATGCAAAAATCCTCAAAAAAACATAAGCAAGCAGAATTAAACTACACATTAAAATGATCATTCACCACGACCAAGTGGGATTCATCCAGGATGCAAGAATGGTTCAACATATATCAATGAACTTGATCCATCACACTGATAGAATCAAGAACAAGAATCATTTCAATAGATGCTTTAAAAGCATTTCATAGAATTCAACATTCTTTCTGGATAAAAACTGTCAATACACTGGATACAGAAGGAACATGCCTCAACATAATAAAGGTCATATATGACAAAACCACCAAACAAGGACACAAAACAAGCCACCATCATTAAATGGGGAAAAATTTGAAAGCCTTTCCTCTAAGATCTTGAATGAGACAAGGATGCTCACTTTCATTACCTGTACTGAACACAGGACTTGAACTCGCAGCTACAGCAATTAGACAAGAGAAACAAATAAAGTACATCAAAATTGAAAAGAAGTCAAATTGTTCTTATTTGATATATGATCTTACATATTATATGTGATACATAATCTTATATATCTTGTTTATATATAATCTTATAACCTAAATAATACACCAAAAAACTCTTAGAAATAATAAATTCAGTAAAGTTTCAGGATGTACAAATCAACAAACAAAATCAGTAGCATTTCCATATGCCAAGAGTGAACAATCTGAAAAATCAAGAAATAAATTCCATTAACAATAGCCACACATACATAAAAAATCTAGGAATAAACTTCAACAAAGAAGTAAAAGCTGGGCAGGGTGGCTCAAGCCTGTAATCCCAGCACTTTGGGAGGCCGAGGTGGGTGGATCATGAAGTCAAGAGATCGAGACCATCCTGGTCAACATGGTGAAAACCCGTCTCTACTAAAAATACAAAAAAAATTAGCTGGGCATGGTGGCACGTGCCTGTAATCCTAGCTACTCAGGAGGCTGAGGCAGGAGAATTGCCTGAACACAGGAGGCGGAGGTTGCAGTGAGCCAAGATTGCGCCATTGCACTCCAGCCTGGGTAACAAGAGCGAAACTCCATCTCAGAAAAAAAAAAAAAAAAAAAAAAAGAAGTAAAAGATCTCTACAATAAAAACTACAAAACTCTAATGAAAAAATGGAAGAGGACACACACAAAAATGGAAATATTCCATGTTCATGGATTGGGAGAATTAATGTTGTTAAAACGCTCATGCTACCCAAAGTGATAAACTGTCAACGTAATCCTTATCAAAATACCAATAATATTCTTCACAGAAATAGAAAAAAAAAAAAATCCTAAAATTCATATGAAACCACAAAATGCCCTGAATAGCCAAAATAATGCCAAGCAAAAAAAATAAAAAATAAAAAATAAAAAATAAAAAAGCTGTATTACATTACCTGACTTTAAAATATACTACAATGCTATAGCAAGCAAAACAGCATGGTGCTGGCATAAAAACAGGCAAGCAGAATCCAACAGAATCCAGAAACCAGAATTAAATCCATGCATTTATAACCAACTTACTTTCAACAAAGGTGCCAAGAATATATACTGGGTATAAAACAGTCTTCAATAAATGATACTGGAAAAAATGGATAACCATATGCATAAGAATGAAACTATACCCCTATTTCTCATCACATACAAAAATCAAATCAAAATGGACCAAACACTTAAATGTAAGACCTGTAACTGAAACCATCTTTGCAAAAGTTATAACCGAGGAAATTATGACAGTGAAACAGATCAGACCTAATCTACTCTACCTTGCATCTAACCTTTTAAGCTGTCCTTGTTCATTCCTGGGCGTAGGCCAAACTAACCATGGGAAATAATTCAGTTTATGATTTGACTCTGAAACAGCATTGATGATAGCCCTCTCCTGAAAAGACCTCCTTCTTGCCTGAGGACCAGTTTGCTTTTGCAGGACTAACAAATTAGCTACAAGATTAGAAATTATGGTTAAGGGTCATGCAGAGTCTGGCTGCAAGAGTATGATCCTCCCCAAATTGCTCCTGGGGATAACATGGCTATTTTAAAATCCAAGGTCAGTGCTTGAGATAGTTTGCAGAGCTCACACTCAGTGGATTAGCTCATACTACCAAAACCAGTAATCTGGCTCACCCAGTTCTGCAATCCCACCCAGGAACAGTAGAACTCACTTAGACCCCCTATGACTTCATTTCCAACCTGACAATCAATGCTCCCCACTTTCCGACCCCCTACCTGCCAAATTATCTCTAAAACCTTCAATCCCCAAGTTTTTGGGAAGACAGAACTGAGTAATAATAAAACTCCAGTCTTTCACACAGGTGCTCTGTGTGAATTATTCTTTCTCCATTGCAATTCCCGTCTTGATAAATCAGCTGTCTAAGCAAAGTGAACCCGTAGGGCAGTTACAAAACTATAGCACTACCAAAAGTAAACACTGGGGAAATGCTTCAGGACATTGGTCTGGGCAAGGGCCTTGAGTAAGACCTCCAAAGTGCAGGCAACAAGAACAAAAATAGACAAATGGGATTACATCAAACTAAAAAGCTTCTGCGTAGAAGAAAACATTGATTAAATGCTTCAGGACATTGATCTGGGCAATGACCTTTTGAGTAAGACCTCAAAAGCATAGGCAACAAGAACAAAAACAGACAAATGGGATTACATCAATCTAAAAAGCTTCTGCATAGCAAAGGCAACAATAAACAAGTGAACAGACAACCTACAGAATAGGAGAAAGACTGGCAAACTATCTGACAAGGGATTAATAACCAGAATATATAAAAAACCCAAACAACTCAATAACAAAAAAGTAATCTGATTTTAAAATGAGCAAAAGATCTGAATACACATTTCTCCAAGAAGATACACAAATGACCAACAAGTCACTAGAAAAAATGATCTCTAATCATCAGGGAAATGCAACTCAAAACCACAATGAGGTATCATCTCACCTCAGTTAAGATGACTATTATTTAAAAGACAAAAAAATAACAAATACTGGCAAGGATGTGAAGAAAGGGGAACACCAGTGTACTGTTGGTGGGAATGTAAATTAGTACAATAATTACGGAGAAAAGTATGGAAATTTCTTAAAAAAACTAAAAATAGAATTACCACATGATCCAGCAATCCTACTGCTGGGTTATTCAAAAGAAAGAAAATCAGTCTATCAGAGATATCTGCACTCTATGTTTATTGCAGCACTATTCACAATAGTCAAGATAGGGAAACAAACTAAGTTTCTACCAGTGGATGAATGGATATAAAAAAAATCTGTACATATACTCAATGGAATATTATTCAGCCATCAAGGATGAAATCCTGTCATTTGTAGTAACATGGATGAAACTGGAGGACACTGTTAGGTGAAATAAGCTAAGTCCAGAAAGACAAATAACATATGTTCTCACTCCCACGTGCGAACCATAAAAATATTTAACTTTATGGAGGTAGTAATAAAGTGTTGGTTACCAGAGGCTGGGAAGGATAGTGAGGAGGTATGCTATGAAGACAGATTGGTTAATCAGTACAAAAATACAGTTAGAGTAAGTTGTAGTGTTTGATTTCACGATTGGGTAACGATAGTAATAATTTAGTTATATTTCAAAATAGCTTTAGAATGTTCCCAAAACAAAGAAACAAATTTTTGAGGTGATAGATATGTCAACCATTCAGATTTGGCCATTATATACTGTATACTTGCATCAAAATATCACATGTACCACATAAATTTGTACAACTATTATGCATCCATAAACATTAAAAAAATTACAATGAAACATCACCTCATATCCATTAGGATGGTCATTACCAAAAAGACAAGTGTGGGGAGGACATGGAAAAAAGGGCAATCTTATATTCTGCTGGTAGGAATGAATACTGGCAGAGCCATTATAAAAAACAGTATTGAGGTTCCTCAAAAAGTTGTAAACAGAACTTTCCTAACTATCCTATCTAGCAATCTTATTACTGGGTAAGATTCCATTTCCAAAGGAAATGAAAGCAGTATCTCAAAAATATATCTGCACTCTCAGGTTCATTGCAGCATGTGTGTATACATGTATACACACATACATAAACACACAATTTTTAAGGCTCAATAAAATGCCATGTGTATATATGTATGTGTGTGTCTATGTATGTATAAATATATGTACATTATGTGCATGCAACGCATACACACACACACACACACACACACACACACACACACATAAAATGGCATTTTATTCAGCCTTAAAAAAGGATTTTTGTAATACCTGGATGAACCTGGAAAATATTATGCTAAGAGAAATAAGCCAGATAGAAAAATACCACATGATATCACTTACATGTGGTATCTAAAACAGTCAAATTCACAGAAACAGAGAGTAGGATGGTGGTTACCAGGGGTGTTAGAAATGGAGAGATATTGGGCAAAGGTAAAATTTAAAGAGACCTAATGTACACCCTGGTGACAATCATTAATACTATATTGTATACTTGAAAGCTTCCAGGAGTAAATTTTAAGTGTTTTCACCACACACACAAAAATAGTAACTGACCAGGTGTGGTGGCTCACCCCTGTAATCCCAGCAATTTGGGAGGCTGACGGGGGAAGATTACTTGAGCCCAGGTGTTCAAGACCAGCCTGGGCAACACAGTGAGACTTCCGTTATCTAAAACAAAACAAAAAGTATGTGAAGAGATGAATATGATCATTCACTTGACTAATAACATCGTTTTATACCTTTAACATAAATTTTTAAAAATAAGTAATAAAGAAAATATAATTCATCATTCTCAGTTATCTCTTATTTTCTCTAGTTTTCCTCATAATTTACCACATCCTAAAATTACATTACACATTTGTTCATTTCTTCCTCGATTAGAACATATGCTCTATGAGAACAAAAATTTAGTCTGTTTTAGTAACCTCTGTATTCTTAAAACACCTAAAATATAGCCTGGCGTATAGTAAACAGTCTAAAAAATATTTGTTGAGTCACTGAATAAAACACACTTGGAAGAGATCTGAGAGATAATAACAAATATTAATCAAAGAAGAGGGAAAGCTAATACATGAGCTAATGAAAAAAATCTTTCCTAATTGTAGTAGTTTTTGTTTGAAACCTAAGAGCGCATACATTGGTCTCTACAGTTCCCACCATACGTTTTGATTTCCTAAACACTATATAAGTCCAATTAGATTTACCTTCAAACAACTACACATGGTGCAGCCGTGCAGTGGAAAATGCAACAGATGGGGAGTTAGGTGACATATGTTCTAGATTCAGCTTTGCAATTAACTTGCTTTCTGATTTTGGGAAAAACACTTCCCTCCTGTGGGCCTCCGTTTCCTTATATTTTGGAATACCTCGAGGATGAGAAGAGATTTTGTTTTTCCTGCTGCATCCTAGGCGCTTACAGTAATCTGGCCCTGAGAAATCTGCTGAATGACTCAGAGAATGAACACACAAAATGAGGAGACCGTACTACATTTCTGAACCTTGCTTGTGAAGAAACACAGCCGGCAAATAATGAGTTTAGTTTACCAAGCGCTTTCTTCCTTTCTTTCTAAATTTGAGATGGAATTTCACTCATCGCCCAGGCTGGAGTGCAATGGCGCAATCTCGGCTCACTGCAACCTCCGCATCGCGGCTTCATGCGATTCTCCTGCCTCAGCCTCCCGAGTAGCTACGATTACAGGCGTGTGCACCATGACGCCTGGCTAATTTTTTGTATTTTAAGTAGAGACGGGGTTTCGCCAAGGTGTCCAGACTGGTCTCAAACTCCTGACCTCAGGTGATGCTCCCGCCTCGGCCTCCCAAAGTGCTGGGATTACAGGAGTGAGCCACCACGCCCGGCCTATCGGGCGCTTTCATGTGTTTGCAGACAACACACTGGGTGCGTCGCACACGAGGTTAATCCTGTTTGCTTAATAAATGAATGAATGAAGTGAAAGGGAAAGGGGGTAGTATTTCCGTTATAAGATGAGAAAACCAAGAGGGGAAGAAACTGGGTCCCACCACTCAATGAGTGCTTCTCAACTCGGGACCCTAACGGGACCTTCTCGTCCGTGCTCTGATCAGGCGCGGCACCACGAAGGCGTAACCCTCTCTTTTGAACTCGTCCCTCCTTAACTTTCCTTGAACGTGACCCACCGTCCACCCTTCAGCTTTACCTGGATCGAGACCAAAATTCTCTACGTGGTGCCCCTGAGACTTTCCACATGAAGACTCTTCTGGTAACGCAGGACACAGACCGCGCGGCCATTTTTGCTGAGATCCACTGACGTAAGAGCGGCCCTCAGCCAACAGTGACGCGCCCAGACAGCCAATCGGATACAAGCTCAGTGGCAAGCGTTTTCTTTTTCGGGTAGGCTCCCTCGCCCTTTGCACGCTGGGAAATGTAGTCTGGTAGCTGTTGCCGGCGGCGTCTGGGTCGCGGCGCTCTTTCGGAGCATGACGGGAGTTGTAGTTGAGTGGCGTCCCGGGAATGATCCGGGTGACGCCTTCTGGTCCGGGGGCGGGCGGTCACAGCGCTACTTGGCTGAAAGGAGGAGGCACTGGCAGCGGGGAGGAGGCTCTTGCGAGGCCTGAAAGGCTGCGCAACAAGACAGGAGTGGGGGTTGGGGTTCGGGGTTGGGGGACAGCCAGGGATCGGGTCTGATATGCTACTGGGGTCGTGACCGCCTGGGGGCCGAGGCAGTCACTGGCCAGACCCAGCCAGGGATCCTCGTCTTCGTCGGGCCTAATTTCCAGCAGCCGGCTAGGCCTCACCGGAGGCTCCTTTCCGTGCGGCCACCCCCAATTCCTGCCCCTATTCTCTGGCCGGAGATGGCTTCCCTGAGTCCCCCGCCGGAGCCAAAGGTAAGTAAGCACCCCCCGGGATCCCCGTTGTCTCGCCACTGCCCCAGCAAGGCGCACCATTGCTTTCTCCCCCAGGCTCCCCACCAACCTCCTGACCGCCTCTTTAGGACCAGCGCCTTGCAAGGAACTCCCCACTATTGAGCTGGGGTGCGGTTCGCGAACAAACTGCCCACTGGCTCCTTTTTTTTTTTTTTTTTTCTTTTTCTAGAGAGACTTTGTAAATCTGCTTGAGAAAATGAGTAATTCTCCAGACTAGCTCTCTCATTTGTGAGTTCTTCAGGTGAAGCACCATTTTTGACCTTCCCTTGTGTCTTCTGTTCCTGGCACAGTGCCTGGACCCAAAGTATACGCTTAGAGAACCTCAAGGAATTGCATAGAGTCACAAGCCAGTGCAAATGGAGAATTGTAGCAGGTAGTGAGATGAGGGAAGCTTGGAGAGGCCGTGGGGCAGTTCAGTAACATTAAACTGTTAGGGCATAATTATTAAATCAGAAAAGCCTTATCCTTAGGTCCTTTCTAATCTGAGATGCCTGTCAGTTACAGTTCGTTCCCAGAATTGGGCACCATATGGAACTTTCAGTTATCATGTTCCTCCTGGCCTACTTGGCCCTGATAAGTGATTGCCTCTGCCACTTTCAGTGGTAGAATTGTCCTTGAGACAAGAACTGACTGCAGAAATCATACTATTTCAGGGGTTGCTGACATTTGAGGATGTGGCTGTGTTTTTTACCCAGGAGGAGTGGGATTATCTGGACCCAGCTCAGAGAAGCCTGTATAAAGATGTCATGATGGAGAATTATGGAAACCTGGTCTCACTGGGTAAGAATCTGCTGTTTCTCTAATTAAAATATCTTAAGAAGGTAGAGAGAAATCAGACTAACAGAACATTTGGACGGAAACCAGTACCAAAACTGCTTTGTTCTAAAGTTCTGATTCAAACGTTTAAGCCATTAATTGTTTCCATAACTCTGATCCCTAGATTGCTTGCAGTCACCAAAATGCAAGCCTTTCCGGCATCCTGTCTCCATAATCTCATTCCCATATCGTTCTGTACTTTCTATCCTGGCTCATCCTCCCACAGCTTTCCTCCCACCCTTTTTCACTCTGCCTTCTGGAGCCCCTGTTCCTCTTCACATAATGTTCCTTACCTCCTGGCCTTAACTGAAACCTGGCACTTTCCCAAGGACATCATTTCTCTGGCAGTTTTTCAAGTGGGGGCTGCTTATCCTCCCACATCCTCCTCCTTCCCCATCCTTTGTCTCAGTGTTGGAAGGGAGAAGTTATTGTTCTCCCGGCTTTTAAATGCTGTCCCCAAAGCCTTCGTTTCCCACCTTCAGACAAAATCTCTCCTTTGAGATGTCAGCAGTCTTGCTTTTTCCACTCAGTTTCTTTTCACTGTCTGTCCACTTTTTGTTTGGTCCCTCACACATTGCTTTGTCACATGTTTCATAGTGTAACTCCTGCCATGGATGGCCCAGTTCATTCTTCAGCCTCAGTGGATCTTACTTCAGGGACTCTGCTTTCCAATTTTATTCAGCGTCTTGCAACATGGATCATATCAATTTTGTCATAACAACCAACTCCTAAATCCCAATACCCTATTCTCTGACCAGTTATTTGGCAATGGAAGTTTATTGACTGTAACTAGACAAGGGTAACCAAAAGAGACAGGCTTTCTCTCCTTGTGGAGCTTACTACAATTGCTCTGTCTTTCCTACTCCTTTCCACTTAAACCCATTCATTTATTAACAATGTAGTAATGACGTCTCTGTGTTTTCACCAAGGTGTCCATCCTCTCTGGGTCTGCCTCCTCATCTAATCACCAGCAAGCTCTCTTACCAGCTTGTCTTTATTCTCTACTTAAACTTCAAATCCCGTATTTGTTATAAAATGCACCTTTTCCTCTTTGCTGTCCAAACTGCTAAACACAGCAGAAGAAATTCTCTAGTCAAAAGGATTGCTATCCTGTATAAAAGTATGGCTTTTTTCTTCCGGTCTCTACTGGGTTTTTATATCTTAGCAATATTTTTTGTCCTTGATATGCTCACTGCCCGATTCTATTTAGTGGCTGTTCCAAAAGCTTTCCATCATTCAGTAGTGACGTCATCTTCTGTTTGTCAGAGAAAATAAAGGCCCATAAGCACAAACTCTCAACTTCTCTGCCTCTTATCTACACAGTTAAAGCTGCTCTCATCTTCTCACCTTTCCAGAAACTTACCAGTCATCCTTTTTTCCCTTACAGTTTCAGTCTCTATTTCTTCTCCCTTGGTACCCTTATTCTGATGATTGGTACGTTCATAGCTCTTCCAATAGGAAAAAGGAGAAGAAAAAAGAGAAGTCTCTCCTATGAGCCAGTCTCCCTCTTGCTGCTGCCTGTAATTTGCTACTTGTTCTTTTCATAGTTAAGTTTTTTTAAGAGTAGTCAATGTGTGTTCTGTACTTCTTTACCTCCCCTTGTGTCTGAGCCCCTTTGCCCTGTCTCCAATACTCCCCTTAAATTGTTTAACAGTGGTCTGTAATAACGTCATTGTCAAGTGCAGTAGACTCTTTTGGGACCTTATTTTATTCTATCTCTCTATGAATATTGGAAACTCTTTATTGTTTCCCTCCATTGGCTTGCATTCTCAGACTTCCCCTCAGTGTGTACTCTTTCCTTGAGGGACCTTACCTACACTCAGATTAGCAACCACTCTGTAATGATAAGTCTCAAATCTTTTTTTTTTTTTTTTCCGAGACATCATCAAGCTCTGTTGCCCAGGCTGGAGTGCAGTGGCGCAATCTTGGCTCACAGCAACTTCCACCTCCTGGGTTTGAGAGATTCTCCTGCCTCAGCCTCTTGAGTAGCTGAGATAACAGGCATGCACCACCACACCCAGCTAATTTTTGTATTTTTAGTAGAGACGGGGTTTCACCATGTTGGCTGGGCTGGTCTCAAACTCCCGACCTCATGTGATCTGTCCGCCTTCGCTTCGCAAAACGCTGGGATTACAGGCATGAGCCACTGCGCCCAGCCCAAATCTTTATTTCCATTTAAGAAAGGTAATGGGGAACCTAACTACCTATGTTTAAATACTGGTTCCATTACTTTCTTAGCCTTGTAACTGTAGTGATTTAACTCTCTTTGCCTCAGTTTATTTTTTTTTATTTTTATTTTCCCAAGACAGAGTTTCGCTGGTTACCCAGGCTGGAGTGCAATGGCGCGATCTCGGCTCACCGCAACCTCTGCCTCCTGGGTTCAGGCAATTATCCTGCCTCAGCCTCCTGAGTAGCTGGGATTACAGGCACGCGCCACCATGCCCAGCTAACTTTTTGTATTTTTAGTAGAGATGGGGTTTCACCATGTTGACCGGGCTGGTCTCGATCTCTTGACCTCATGATCCACCCACCTTGGCCTCCCAAAGTGCTGGGATTACAGGCGTGAGCCACCGCGCCTGGCCAGTGTGTGTGTTTTAATATGCCATGATGTCTCTCAGTCACTGCCAGCTTATCCATACATTAATAGTATTCTGGTTGAGAGAACCAGATAAGTGCCCAGCCCTACCTTTCTCTAAAACTGCAGCATGTGAATACCACATGGACAAGGTATGACAGTGTGCCCATAGGTGATCTTGTACTTGTCTTATTTCAACTTAAATACAGCTTTCCATCATTCGTCATTTCTCCTCCCACAGGAGTCTTTTCACCCTCCTCAATACACCCTATCTCCATCCTTTTGGTGAGAGCTTCCGTGATGAGAGATCACTATTACTCTACTGTTGCAATGCAGTATTCTCTTCTACTTCATCTTACTGCTGTTCATAATGCAACTCTGGACTAGCTTTATAGTTTTGGCTTTTCATTTATACTTTTCCTTTTCAAGCTGATTAAAAAAATTTTTAATAGCTACATTGATAATACGGTCGATAGCTTAATATCTCAGATCATGGACATATTCCATTTTCATAACTCTTTCAGTCTACTTGAACCCAGATTGGATCTTAAGAGAACTGGAATGGCTATATGTACAAGACCTTGAATTTACTGTTTGTCTTCTTTGGTTATAGTCTTTTTTAAATTTGTTGAATTCATTAATTCATTCAATGAATAATTATCAAACACTGTGCTACACCCTAGAAATTTTAGTTTTTGACCATTCTCCCTTTCTGTTATGTCATCCAGGAAAACTGTTCATTTTATAGTCTGTTGGCTAGCGAGATTGGCAACTATGGTCCACAAGCCAAATCTGGCACATTGCCTGTTTTTGTAAAGAAAATTTTATTGAAACACAGACATCCCCATTTATGTGTTGTCATGGTTACTTTTATGCTATAATGGCAAAATTGAGCTGTTACAACACTGACCCTATGATTCAGAAAGCCCAAAGTATTTGTTGTCAGGTTCTTTACAGAAAAAGTGTGCCATCTCATATTCTATACTGAAGTTTATTTACTT